CTTCCTTGGTTAAATTTATCCTAAGTGTTTTATTATGCTACTGTAGATGGTAGTGCTTTCTTAATTTGTCTTTTAGATAGTTGGTTATTAATATATAAAAATGCAACTCATTTTATATGTTAATTTTGTATCCTACAAGTTTACTAAATTGGTTTATTTGTGACAATATGTTTTTTTGTGGAAGCTTTAGTATTTTCTACACATAAAATCTTGTCATCTGCAAACAGAGACAATTTTACCCTTTTTATCTGATTTGGATGGCTTTTATTTATTTATCTTTTTTTGCCTAATTGTTCTAGTAAATCCTTGCATCTCAGGGAAATATCACACCGGTTATGGGGAATTATCCTCTTAATGTGCTGCTAAGTTTGTTGTGCTATTTTGTTGAGGATGTTTGCTTCTATTCATTAGAATTATTGACCTGTAATTTTCTTTTCTTATAAAGTGTCCTTATCTGCTTTTGGTGTCAGGATAATATTGGCCTTCTAAAATAATTTTGGAAGTGTTTCCTCTTCTTCAATTTTTGGGAAATGTTTGAGAAGGATTGACATTTCTTCTTAAATATTTGGGAGAAATCACTCATAAAGTGACCTGATCTTGGACTTTCTTTGTTGGAAGATATTTGATTACTAATTCAGTCTCCTGAATTTTTATAGGTCTATTCAGATTTTTATTTCTTCCTGATTCAGTCTTTGCAGGGTGTGTGTTTCTAGGAATTTATTTATTTCTTCTACATTATTTAATTTGTTGGCTATAATTGCACATGGTAGTTTTATAATTATTTTTATTTCTGCAATATCAATTATAATGTCTCCTCTTTCTATTTGATTTATCTGAGTTTTTTTTCTTAGTCTAGCTAATGCTTTGTAGATTTTGTTTGTCTTTTCCAAAAAAACAGTGCTTAGTTTTGCTAAGTTTAGCTTTTCATGTTTGTGCTTTTCATGTTTGTTTGTTTGTTTTGCTTCTGCTCTGGATCTTTGTTATTTTCTTTTTTCTGCTAGCTCAGGGCTTCATTTATTTTTCTTTTTCTAGTTCCTTGAGGTATAAGGGTATGTTGTTTACTTGCAATATTTTCTTTTTATTTTATAGTCATTTGTTGCCATAAACTTTCCTCTTAGAACTGTTTTTGCTACATCCCAAATATTTTGATATGTTGTGTTTCCATTTGCATGTCTCAACATTTTTTAAATTGTCTTTTGATTCCTTCTTTGACCCATTATTTGAGAGTGTGATATTTGATTTCCTCTTATTTGTAAATTTTCTAGCTTTCCTCCTATTATTGATTTCTACTTTCATACCATTGCGGTTGGAAAACATATCTGATATAATTCTAATACTTAAAATTTTAAAGATTTGCTTTGTGACCTAACACATGATCAATCCTGGAGAATTATTCTACATGCACTTCGGATAAATGTGCATTCTGCTGCTGTTGGATTGAATGTTCTATATATGCTTATTAGGTTGATTTGGTCTAAAGTGTAATTCAAGTCCAAGATTTCTTGTTGATTTCCTCTCTGGATGATCTATATATAGCTGAAAGCAGATATTAAAGTGTCCTACTGTTATTGTGCTGGTGTCTATTTCTGTATTCAGATTTGTTAATATTTGCTTATTATATTTAAATGTTCTAAGTTTAGGTGCATATATATTTAAAATTGTTATATTCTCTTGATGAATTGACCCCTTTATCTTTATATTATAATCTTCATCTCTTGTTATGTTTTTCTTAAAGTCTATTACATTTGGTATAAGTATATCTACCCTTTTTCTCTTTTGCTTTCCATTTGCAAGGAATATCTTTCTTCCATTCTTCACTTTCAGCCTATCCATGTCCTTAAAGCTGAAGAAAGTCTCTGGTAGGCAGAAAATAGTTAAGTCTTGTTCTTTTATTCATTGTGACACTCTGTCTTTGATTGGAGAATTTAATTAATTTACCTTAAAAGTAATTACTGATGGGTAAGAACTTACTTGTCCCATAATCTTCATTGGTGTCTGGCTGCTTTGTAGTTATTTTATTTTTTTTTCTTCATCTCTTGCTACATCTTGCTTTGTGATTTGAAGATTTTTCCATATTGGTATGTTTTGATTCCTCTTTATCTTTTGTGTATAACTATAGGTTTTGCTTTGTGTGATTACCATGAGGCTTACAAAAAACATCTTTAACCATCTGTGCTATGCTAATGAAATAACTCTGATTATGTATAAAAACTCTATCCTTTTACCTTGCCTCTATTTATGTTTTTGATGTTGCTATTTACTATTTTTATATTGTGTATTCATCATGAAATTATTTTAGCTATAGTTTTTCCAATAAATTTGTTTTTAGCCTTTATACTACAGTTATGTGATTTATACAGCACCAAGACATTATTATGGTATGCTGAATTTGAATATACATTTTCCTTACCAGTGAGTTTTATGCTTTCATATGTTTTCATGTTACTAATTAGTATCATTTTGTTTCAGCTTGAATAAATTCCTTTAGCATTTTTTTTGCCAAAAGATAATATTTTTATTACTTCCATTAATATAAAATTATATTCTTGGTATCATTTTAATTCTTTTGACCTTTAATTATCTTTGTTTGATATTAATATTGTAACATCTACTTTTTGCTTATTGGTGATTTTTCCTGGTGCATCTTGGCTTATCTTTTTATATTAAGCCATCTAGAATGATTCAGATCAGTTTCATTTATAGAGAGAATATAATTAATCTTTGTGTTTTTTTTTAAAAAAAAAAAAAACAAACAGATTCTGTAGCATTTTTTAAGGCAATTCCAGTTGTGATGAAGTCGCTCAGCTTTTACTTGTCTGAAGAGCAGATTTTTTTCAGTAAAGTATTCCAGCACCTTGTATATGTCATCTCACTCTCTCCTGGCCTGCAAGGTTTCTGCTGAGAAATCTGCTGAAATCAATATTCCCTTGTAATAGAAGAGCTGCTTTTCTCTTGCTGCTTCACAATTCTCTCTTTGGCTTTATTTTTGACAGTTTTATTTTAACATCCCTTGGTGAATTTCCTCTTTTAAGTGGATAAAATCTGTGTGCGTGACTATATTTTATGTTCTGGATGTCCACATCTCTCCCCAGATCTGCGAAGTTCTTAGCAATTGTTCTGTTAAATAAGCTTTTTGTTTTCTTTCTCTTTCTTTTCTCCTTTTAAAAATATAAACTAGTACAACAACTATGGAAAATAGTGTGGGGATTCCATAAAGAGCTAAAAGTAGAACTACCACTGATCCAGTAATTCCACTACTGGGTATCTACCCAGAGGAAAAGAAGTCATTATACAAGATACTTGCACGTGCATGCTTCTAGCAGCACAGATCATAATTGCAAAATTGTGGAGCCAACCCAAATGTAGATCAATCAACAAATGAATAAAGAAATTGTGCTGTGTATACACACACACACACACACTAATGCTACTCAGCCAAAAAAAGGAATGGCATTCACAGCAACCTGGATGAAACTGGAGACCGTTATTCTAAGTGAAGTTAAGTCAGGAATGGGAAACCAAACATTGGATGTTCTCACTGATATGTGGTAGCTAAGCTATGAGGCTGCAAAGGCATAAGAATGATACGATGAGTTTGGAGACTTGGGTAGAAGGGCAGGAGAGGGGCAAGGGATAAAATACCGTAAATAGGGTGCAGTGTATACTGCTTGGGTGATGGGTGCTCCAAAATCTCACAAATCATCAATAAAGAACTTACTCATGGAACCCAACATCACATGTACCCCATAATCTATGGGAAAAAAGCAATAAATTTAAAATTAAATAAACTGAATTTATAGATGCAATTTAAGTGTTTAAGGGAATTTATTTCAAGGTGTTTCTAAGTAGGGCTAATTGTTAAGTAAAGGGGAGTTAGTCTTCAATTTGAGTTAATCAGATGTTTTTCAAAGGTCCTTAGAGTTATGGTTTTTACTTTTTACTTAAAAATACAAAATTCACAAATAGGATAAATTGAATCTAAAATCTTAGGACAATTTTGATTTTTCAATTTGCACTTCTAGTAAAGGAAAACTTGAAGTTTGGATTTTTGAACTTGTATTTAGTATACAAAACATTAATTAAAGACCTAAGCATCTGAACACAATCTTTCCTGTAGGTTGGAATCAACTTCTTCCAAATTCCTGTTAATGCTGATATTCTAACGTCCTCCCACGGATCACAAATGTTCTTAATGGCATCTAGAATGGTGAAACCTTTCCAGAAAGTTTCTAATTTACTCTTCCCAGATCCATCAGACGAATCTTGATCTTTGGCAGCTACAGCCTTATGAAATGTATGTTTTAAATGATAAGCCTTGAAAGTCAAAATTACTCCTTAATCCATGGGCTACTGCAAAATGAACACACTGTTATCAGGCATGACAACAGCATTAATCTTCCTGTACATCTCCATCATATCTCTCCAGCGACCAGTGTCAATAAGCAGTAATACTTTGAAAGAAATCTTTTTTTCTGAGCAGTATGTCTCAAAAGCAGGCTTAAAACATTCAGTAAACCATGTTGTGCAACCAGATATGATGTCATCCAGGCTTTGCTGTCTCATTCGTAGAGCACAAGCCGAGTAGATTTAGCATAATTCTTAAAGCTCTTGTTTTTTGGTATGGTAAATGAGCATCCGGTTCAACTTAAAGTCACCAGCTGCATTATCCCCTAGTAAGAGACTTATTCTGTCCTTTGAAGGTCATATAATTGAAGGCAGACATTGACATCTCTTCTCTACCTATGAAAGTCCTACCTGGCATCTATTTTCAAAATAAGAATACTCTGTCTACATTAAAAATCTAAATCTATTGTTACTGTGGTCATCTTCATCAATGATCTTAGCTAGATCTTTTTGATAACTTCCTGCAGCTTCTCCATCAGCACTTCCTATTTAACCTTGTACTTTATGAACCAGCCTCTGCTAGCTTCAAACTTTTCTTCTGCAGCTTCCTCATTTTTCTCAGCCTTCATAGAATTTGGCTCAAGGGAATTTTGTAGCTGGCTTGATCTTCTATCCAGACCACTCAAACTTTCTCCATACCAGCAATAAGGCTGTTTTGCTTTATCACTTATGTGTTCACTGCAGTAGCACTTCTAATTTTCTTGAAGAACTGTTCATGGCATTCATAGCTTGGCACAAGAGATGTACCTTTCAGCCTATCTCAGCTTTGGGCATGCCTTCCTCACTAAGCCTAATCATTTCTAGCTTTTGATTTAAAGTAAGTGGCATGCAAATTTTCCTTTCACTTGAATGTTTAGAGGTCATTGCAGGGTTATTAATTGGCCTAGTGTCAGCATTGTTGTGTCTCAGGAAATAGGGGGGCCAAAGCAGAGGGAAAGAGAGGGGAAAAAGGCCCGTCATTGGAGCAATCAGATCACACACAACACTTATGGATCATGTTGGCCATGTTGTATGAACACAATTTGCAAAGCCCCAAAACAATTACAATAATAATATCAAATATTAATGATTACAGATGCCCATAACACATATAACAAAAATGAATGAATTTGAAATATTGAGAGAATCATCACACTGTGGCACAGAGACGTGAAAAGAGCACGTGCTATTGGAAAAATGGCATCAGTAGACTTGCTCACCACAGGGTTGCCACATACTTTCAATTTATAAAAAATGCAATATCTGCAAGTGCAATAAAGCAAAGAGCGGTGAAACAAGGTGTGCCCATACACACAGTTTTCTTCTTGTTAATGTAGATAACAAACTTGCCACTGACAAATCCACTTAGAATGTTAGTCCTTATTTGGTTTCTTACTTGTCTCTGTTGCCCACTCTCTCTTCTTAAAATTCCTCCCTCCCTGTCACTTTCACTGTTGCTTTCTATTGGCTTTTCTCCTTGTCCATGCCATCTCTGCCCTTTTAGTACTGGGTGTTCTCTGGATTACACCGAGTCACCCTTCTTGGCATTCAGAATCTCATCAGCTGAGTACCTCAACATCCACTGCTTTATTTTAGCCCTTGCAAATGAATGAATTTCACCTACCTCTCACCAACCCAAACGTCTATCCTGGATCTCCAAATCATTGTTTTCTACTGTCAATTGAATATCTTTTCTGAAGGTTCTATGGACAATCGAACTCTAGCTGCTTGTTACACAAAATGCATCATCTTTATGCCAACTCTCCCAACCTCTAGGGTCTTGGTATGCATTTCCAGACATGGCAAATGGGAGCCACACTGTCCAGTCTCCCAGGGCAAGAAAGTGGAAGTCACTCTCAACTGCCTCCTCCCACTGCTCTTCTCACATCCAGTCCACAAACTATGTGCAATCCACCACCATATTATGTTTCTACAGCCTTCCTATCTCCTGAAGTCCTGAGTCAAGACACTGGGGAAGGAGAGGAAGGCTAAAAACAAAAAAAGCCAATGTCATCTGTCAAAGATACAGAAAATGTGACATTAAATAATCCAATGAAATAAAATTATGCTACAAATTTAAATAATAAAAATTAAAATAAGTTATATGACAAAATGTATGTACATATGCCTAATACACTTATTAAAATGATTACTGCAAAATAAGTTTTTTGATTAAAAATGGAATATGATAATCACTAATTTGTTTTAATATTAGTTTAAGAGAAAAATAAGACTGCATAATAATGCAATTATATATTTCAGTTTTTATGTTAACAAGTATGAAGAAGCCCAATGTCAATTCAGCTGCAAATCATGAAAGATGATATTTAATCATCTTTTCTTATAAGGCTGGAAACTAACACAGAGCCAGCTAACTACTGTTCAATAAACCTTATTACTTGAAACAAACAAGCAAACAAAAATTCCATTATGTAAATATTATTTCATTGATGATATGCCAAAATACATGTAGGTTTTCTTCACCTTTTTTGATTCTCTTTTCATATTTTCCCTCTAACTGGATAATTTCAAATGATTTGTCTTTGAGTTCAAAAATTATTTCTTCTGCTTGATCAAGTCTGCTGTTGATGCTTTCTGTTGCATTTCTCATTGCATTAATTGTATTATTAGCTCTAGACTTTCTGATGTTTCTTTTATATAATTCCTATCTTTTAAAAAAGTTCTCGGCCGGGTGCAGTGGCTCAAGCCTGTAATCCCAGCACTTTGGGAGGCCGAGGCGGGTGGATCACGAAGTCAAGAGATCGAGACCATCCTGGTCAACATGGTGAAACCCCGTCTCTACTAAAAATACAAAACATTAGCTGGGCATGGTGGCGCGTGCCTGTAATCCCAGCTACTCAGGAAGCTGAGGCAGGAGAATTGCCTGAACCCAGGAGGCGGAGGTTGCGGTGAGCCGAGATCGCGCCATTGCACTCCAGCCTGGGTAACGAGAGCGAAACTCTGTCCCAAAAAAATAAAATAAAATAAAAAATAAAAATAAATAAATAAATAAATAAATAAAATAAAAAATAAAAAAGTTCTCATTTAGTTATTGTATTTTTTTTATTTTGTTGAGTTGTTTATATTCTCTTGTAGTTTACTGAGCTTCCTTGAAATAATTATTTTGAATTCTTTCTCTGGAAATTTGTACATCTCCATTTCTTTGTTGTCTGTTATTAGGTAACTATTGTGTTCTTTTGGTGTTGTCATGTTTTCTTGATATTTGTGTGTCAGTCTCTTTTAGCCTTGCATGATGTCTGCATGTTTGATGGAGGAGTCACCCCCTTGTTGTACAATTTCTGGACTGCTTTTGATAGGGACACTTATAAGTCAGTGGGAAAGCACTGGATAGGTGAGGTGTGGTAGTTCCAGCTCCTGGGAAGGCCCAACGACATAGTCTTCATGCAGTTCTGTCAGCTAAGATCAATTTTGGTGAAGATTGCAAGGGTCCTCCAGACCAAGACTGCTGGGGACCACAGCAGCAGTGAGAGCTGTTGGGGTCTTAAGCTGTGAAGGTTCTTAAGATTCTCCTATTCTCTCTTGCACAGGGGAGGTTATGGTCCTTGTTATCCCTCTTGGTGCTGGGTCTAGCTTGTACAAAGCCTTCTGGTGGTTGTGGCACTGGTGTCTGATATACAAGTACTCATGGAACAGTCAAGAAAATAGAGTCTGGAGCACAGGCACTCAGAATGACAGCAGCTCTGTTATCTGGGGTCCCAGCTAGCTCATAGTAGTGATTGTTTTAATACCTGAGATGCAGGCATGCACAGTGATATTGTTTAGCTGTGTTCCCACCAAAATTTCATCTTGAATTGTAGTTCCTATAATGCCCATATGTGGTGGGAGGGACCAAGTGGATGGCAGTGTCCTCTATCCTTTTCTTGTGATAGTGAGTTAGTTCTCATGAGATCTAAAGATTTTATAAGGGGCTTTCCGCTTTGCTGGGCACTCATTCTTCTCCTTGCTGCTTCCATGTGAAGAAGGATGTGTTTTCTTCCTCTTCTACCATGACTCTTAAGTTTCCTGAGGCCTCCCAGCGCTGCAGAACTGAGTCAGTTAAACCTCTTACTTTTAGAGATTACCTAGTCTTGATATTTCTTCTTAGCATCATGATAAGAAACTAATATACACAGAGTTTTTCAGAGGCAAGTTATGGAGCACAGGTACACACATAGAGCAGCTACAGAGCTGGTTTCTGGAATGAAGGTCATTCAGAGCAGCTATGGCTCTGGGTTCAGAGTGTATGTGGAGTTGTGGCAAGGGGGACGTGGGAGCCTGGAACCCTGCATTCTGATGTACAATAGCAGGCCCTGCTGGGGTATGCAGCATCATCTCCATTTCCATGGGGCCCATGGCAGTGATGGCTGTTGATTACCTCAGTGACAAATGCTGCCAGTGACCTCTAAAGAGGAGGCCACTGTGGTCATTGTCAACAAGCGGTATTGAGTCCTCTTCTGTGAATGCTGGGGTGAGTCCATGGTTGTACTGGAACTACTGAAGTCTTCAGTGTCAAAGTCTGCCATGGTTCTCTGCAGGGTCAGCTACAGAGGACCACTGGGGTATGTGCCACAGTAACACCCACCCCATGGCTTATACAGATAGTTCTATCATTCTTTTTTGTTACTGACCATTGCCACATATTGCAGGTATACCAGTCTCCCCAGTGATTCTCTCTGTGAAGTGTTCTCCCTTTTTTGCTCCACTAATTGGTAACTAATTGGTAACTAATTTGTTACCGTAAATTCTTTTAAAAATTTAATTGATACATAATATTTTACATATTTACAGAGTACATGTGATATTTTGTTACATGCAACGAATATGTAATGATTAAGTGAGGGTTTTTGAATTATACATCACCTTGAGTATTTATTATTTCTTTTTCTATTTTGTTTTAAAGACAGGGTCTCACTCTCTCACACAGACTGAAGTGCAGTGGCACGATCATGGCTCACTGTAGCCTCAAACTCCCTCAGCTTCCTATCTGGGACCACAGACATGCACCAGCATGCCCAGCTAAATATATATATATGTATATATATATATATATATATATATATATATATACACACACATACATATATTGGTAGAGATGGGGTTTCACTATGTTGCCTCTGGTTGGTTTCAAACTCCTGCCTTCAATTGATCCTCCCACCTTGGCCTCCCAGTGTGCTAGGATAACAGGCATGAGCCATTGCAACCAGCCAGTATTTACCATTTCTATGTGTTGGCAACCGTCTTCTAGCTCCTTTAAAATATACAATACATTGTTGCTAACTATAGTCACCCTACTCTGATATTGAATATTAGAATTTATACCTGCTATGTAACTGTATGTTTACAGCCCATTGACTAACCTGTCTTCATCTACTCCTCCTGCCTACACACTCTTTCCAGCCTTTGGTATCTATCATTCTACACTCACCTTCGTGAGATCAACATTTTAGCTCTCATATATGAGTGAGAACATTAAAAATTTGTCTTTCTGTGTCTATCTTCACTTAACATAATGACCTTCAGTTTCATCCATGTTGCTGCAAATGTCATGAATTCATTCCTTGTTGTGGCTAAATAGTACTCTATGGTATGTATATGCCAGATTTTCTCTATGCATTCATTCGTTAATGGATATTAGATTGATTCCATTTCATTGTTGTTGTGAATAGCGCTGTAGTAAACCTGGAAGTGCAAGTATCCCCTTTGATATACTGAT